GTCCACTCACCATCTGCTTCTGTTGAAGAGTCTTTAATCCACCAAGACTTAGGTGTCCATAACGACAGTGCCACAGCTGAACTGGATCATCTGTGAGAGCATTGAAGCATGCTTGGACACTGATTTGATGTTGAGCAATAATAATAAACATGCGATTTGCAGCCATAACAGTCTCCATGATCAGTCCTCTTTCAGGGTGAAAGATCTTGCATCTTCCATATTTAATGAGAATAGCAAGACCTTTCTCCTGAAGCTGACCAATGCTTAGAAGATTGTTCTTCAAAGCAGGCACATAGAAAACCCCTGTGATCACCTGAGTTATCCCACTCACTTGTAGTCTAATGTTTCCTTTCCCCAAAACTGTCATACTAGTATTGTTCCCTAGTTTCACACTTTCTCTAAAACTTTCATCAAAGTCGAGAAATAGCTCATTCTTACCACACATATGGTTGCTGCACCCCGAGTCGAGAAACCAAATATCTTCTTTGACATCTGGAGCATCTACATATGCCATTAGCAACATTTCTTCACTAGCCTCAGCATAATTGACCTTTGCCTCCTTGTCTTTCATAGGACACTCAAACTGAAAGTGCCCTAATTCATGACAATTATAGCACTCAATTGTTGACTTGTTGAAAGTTTGTCGACCTCTCCCTCTGCCTCTTCCGCGAAAGGTTCCTCGACCACGTCCTCTTCCTCCAGAGTTTTCTTCATAGACCACCTTCAATGCTTGCTCCTCCATAACATGTCCGATCATCCGCTGTTCATGTACCAACAAACTGCTTTGCAGTTCATCAATTGAGAGAAGATCTAAATCTTTAGATTCCTCAATTGAACAAACCACATAATCATACTTAGGAGTCATCGATCTCAGAATCTTCTCAATAACTTCTACATCTGTCAATTTGTCACCGTTGATTCTTCTCTTGTTGGCTATGGTCAGAGTTCGACCAAAGAACTCATTCACAGTCTCTCCTGTCCTCATGTGAAGCATCTCAAATTCCTTTCGAAGTGCCTGCAACTGTGCTCGCTTGACACGAGCAGTTCCTTGATACTTTTGCTTCAACGAATCCCAGATCTCCTTAGCCGTATCCTTGTTCAAGATTGTTTCCAGAACAGCTCGATCAATTGCTTGAAACAAATAATTCTTAGCCTTTAGATCTTTCAACTTTTGATCCTCAAGCACCTTCCTTTGTCCTTCCACGATTGAGGCTCCTTCTGCTGCTGCAGTGATTCCATGCTCTACAATACTCCAATACTCATTTGAACGTAGAAAATTTTCCATAAGCATCGCCCAATGGTCATAATGCCCATCCAGTTTCGGAATGGATGCATGCACAAAACCACTTCCTTCTCCTGCCATATTCTCGTATAACTTTACTCAAAAGTTACTCTCTCTCAAGTTTTAATCAGAAACCCCAGGTTGGGGCTCTGATACCAAATGTTGAATCCGAGTTTTGTCAGCCGAGATCTTTTGCAAGCTATGAGAAATTACGTTCAGATTGAATGAATAACCAACAGGCTTTTAATAAGCCTTACACAATAACTGAATGAAAACATGCAGCCCACGTTGAACATAAACCTAAACGTGGTAGAAGACTAAGTCTGAAAAAGAAACTGATCCCTAGATTCTAGGGCTTATTTCGCCATGCAGTTGAAACTGCTTACATACTTAACCCTAAACTTACGTAGTGGATAGAACCACTACTTCTAACAGGTCAGGGGGTTTCTGGGTTTGTTTGGGTTTTTTCTTTTTTTTTTAATAGGGTACATATTATTATATTTTAAATACATAAAAAATTATTTTTCTTACCACGTGGCACAAATGTGGTAGCCACGTCAATACAAATGTGGATCCCATATTTGCCATGTCATCACTTAACGGTTTACGTAACAGATTTTCTAACAGATGTATGATATTGAAATAAAATGATAAGTAAATGTATGAAATTGAAATGTTTTAAAAATGTTGTAAGGAATTGAAATTGACCCCAAACTTAAGAGGGTAAAATGTAATTTACCCTTACTTTTATTACGACTACTGTACTATAATTAATGAGATTAGGCCAAACTTACTCGAATTTTTAATTTATATCAAAATCCTAATTGGGTTTTCAATTCAATTCATATTAAATTCTCTTCTTAATTCAAATCCCATAAACATACTCAAAAATTAAATAGATCAGCAAAAAATCACATATGCGCCCAAATGAATATGAAGAGATATACTCACAAAAGGAAACACACTAAATACCAAATGCCTTTTTCTTTTTTTTTTCTTTTGGTCAAGGGAAAGATTTTATTCTAACCAAAACACAAACTTACAAACAGACAAAGGCCCAACAACACCTATAAACAAAAACAACTAAAAAGGGCCTAAACGGAAAGAAAAAACAACATAAACAAAGAATGAGCCCAAAACCAAAGAACATTTGAGAAGCATCCACTGCCTTCTCCACCAACGGTCCAAGGAACTGCCAGCCAACCAATTCTCCGACCCCACCAATCATCTCCTTCACTGACGTCTCATGTGCACAGCCATAAGGTAGGGGTAATCGGCATCCAAGCGAAAGAGGCCAATCACCAGGTGGAAGCTCAAAACAAGTCCCAAGCAACATTGCCGCAAGCGGCAGACACAAAGGAGAACGTGATAATGTGGAAAACATCTGAGCCGGTGCAAGCGTTGGAACTCTACACACGAACTCGACATAAGACATGGCTGAAATACTAAATGCCTTTTGCGTTACAAAGATGGACTTTTTATCTCATGTTTTAGGCAAAGTGGATTGAATAACATGTGGTCGCGTGCTAGTATTTGACGACTTCATCAAATTTAACGTTGAGAAGTTAATTGGCTAATTTTAAATAATTCATAGGTTAATTTACTAAAAATTGTTCAAGATATCAATTTCAACTAAAATAATGGTTCACTGTGATTACCCGTGATTTAAAAAGCGGTGCACTGGAATATGCGTTCCAACCAAAGAAAACCCAAAAGAAAAGAAATTCTTAAGCCCACTATTGGTGGAACATGGACCAACACTTCGAAGCCCACAAAACCCCCGTCTAAACGACCCAGGCCGAACCACTCGTCTAGCGGACCGTTCCAAACAACCCGGTTCGCAAATCCAAACGCCATATCACAGGTCCCAAATCCCGTTCCCATTTCCACGACGCGAGAGTTCTGAACAAAATCTTCTACCTCGCAGCTCAGATCAGAAGCAGGCGGAAACAGATTCGCGCAGATCGCCATGGATTCAGCGGCTCGAAGGAGCGGCGGAGGCCTCTTCGAAGGTCTATACAGGGTCATCATGCGACGTAACTCCGTCTACGTCACCTTTGTCATCGCTGGAGCCTTCCTCGGCGAGCGGGTGAGCCTCTCACGAATTTTCAGATTAGGGTTTCCCTCACGGAGCCTCGAGCCTCTCGTTTTAGATTTCTTTTTGCTCCCTGTTGTTTTCTGTTTGGTTGCTAGGAAAATCTAAGGAAATTAAAAGGTGCTTGATTTGCGATTAGGTCAATTTAGTCTAGTAGAAAGCGCAGAAATTTCAATTGGGTTTATGGTATTTTGTTGAATTGGCCTTGTAATTAAACGGGATTGGCTTTTTTTTTTCTCTGTTGTGTTGGTGAGAAATGGGTAAAATTTGATTTTGTTTATTGCGATTTAGCAATGAATTTTTGGTAATTCTTTTTGTACATCTAATTCTGTAAATTTGTTTCATATATGCAATGCTCGTAGCGACGAAAAGTTGCTAAATTGATCAAGTTGAGAGTCATGTATAGTGGAATTATCGACATTCAAAATCTTGCCATTTTGTATTTCAAAAAATCGTGGCACTTGGTTTCGGGTTCATAACTTTTCATATATTCATTACTAGTAATGGCGTTGAGTTACTAATGGAGACATTACTTGATTTTTGTTTCTTGGAACCTTATGTTTCAGGTGCTTTTTCTGAGTTTTGGGGTATATGCACATTTCTGAATGAGTTTTTTTTCATTCCTTGCTGAATTTGTTTCTTTTGTCGCCTCGAATGTCTTAGTGTTCTTATGTATTTGATTTGCTGGTTTCAGGCTGTTGATTATGGAGTTCATAAGCTGTGGGAGTACAATAATGTTGGGGTATGTGAACTATTCTACTGTTCTATTTACGCATTTTGCATGCACTTTCTCCATGTATATTAGAATGTTATGTATTTCCAGTTTGCCGAAAATATGCTGGCATGATGAACAATGATACGAGTATGATCCCATGTGTTATTTACTGTATAGTAGAGACAGATGTGTGTAAAACTTGAAAATTTAAATAGCTTTTACTTATTCTCCCTTCTGTAAATACATGCTGTTTTTTTGCTTTTTCCCAAAAGACAACTTTTGCCGTGGCTGGATGGCCTGCATACTTTATTTGGTTGTGCACATATGTTTGTTTGGATTCTTCATTGGATTTGGGTGTACATGTTTTGGAGAGAGTTTAGCTGGTGCTGGTTGTAGAGCAACATGTATTCCCTTGTTTGTTTTGCTCGATTGTTTTTTTTTTTTTTTTTTTTTTTTTTTGGGTGTTTTTTTTTGGGGAGGGGGGGGGGGGGTGGGGGGTGTGTTCACAATTGGGATGGATTTTCACTTTCCACATCCATATAGACATTTATATTGTTCAAACTCATGTCTTCGACGCAGTTGAGATTCTTTCTTCAATAGTAACTGGTTTATGACATTTCATAATTTCTCTATTTTGATCGGTGCTACTGGACATTTTCACAAGTTTAACATTGAAACTGGTTATTTCTCTTTTATGCAGAAACGATATGAAGATATTTCAGTTCTGGGGACAAGGCAATCGGAAGAATGAGATTACAGATGCTTCTCTTTGACAGTTCTAAAGTTTTCATAATCGAAAGTTGGAGCATGCAATTATGCTTTAGGTAGGGCTTCTCTTTTTAGTAATAAAAGTTTGGTCGGATTCAGCTTATTATAAACCTTGTTCCATTCAACTAAAGTGTTTTTGAATTGTCGAATCAGTTGTGTACGGCCACATTGACTTGATTCTGCCAATGGTTATTGTTTGTTTTTGAGATTTTGATCCCCTTGCCTTTGCCTTATCATTGTGCAGTGGTTTGTGTTGAATCATGTTTACTTTCTCTAAACGATTAACTCGACTAATTGTAACAAAGGAATAATTAAAAACTAGATAGAGAAAGAGAAAGAAAATGAACAGATGCACGTAATTTCCACCGAATTGTAAATGCACGATGGAAATTAAGGTTGTTCTGTTCACTTTTGGGTTTCTTGGCAGGCACACAAACGATTGAAATTTTAAGAAAAACCTTAAAAGTTGTTTGCTAGTTGCCACATTATACTGATCATTAACAATTAATCATTCATCCAGCACGGATTCGGTATCTTTGTTTTCGAGGAACACTCTTGCACTCGGTAGGGTTGAAACCACCTGCAGATGTTCCATTAGAACTACTCAGCCGAACCCCCAGCTTGCAAAGGATCTGCGGACTGCCCTTGATTTTTTTGAATAACTTGACGCGATCATACCTTACCCGAAGAACAAACATTACGTCAATACTGTAAACACCAGCCATCTCCCTCGGCTCCCCTTGAAGTTGTAGTAGTGCATGCATAGCGGTGGTGTTCTTGCCCTCCTGGTAAAACGGAGTCGCACTCACTGCGACAGACTTGTAGCTTATCTGAGCACCAATGACTTGGATGCTACGGTAGTCTATGCCAACCCCTTTGTTGCGATTTCTGATGGTGAAGTTGAGTGCAAGGTTGTAGTCGAGAGTGTTTTCCGCGTAGTCAATGGGATTGAGTCGGGTTAGAGAGGCGTTAGTGACGGTGATTTGGGGGCCGTGGGGATAGAAGCTCTTCCAGAGTACGGCATAGACACTGCCGAGTATAGCGAAGAAGCAGACGACGACGCCGATGACACTGCAGACTACGGCAAGGTAGAAATAGCGGTCGTCACGCCTCAATTGAGGCATGAATTGTATGCACTTCATGGAAAAGTTCAAAGTTGTTTCAGCAACTCTAGGGTTTAAGGGTAGGTTTTGGCTTCGTTTACATGAACAAGTGACACAAAGTTAGGGTTTATATAGCATCAACTCTTAATTCAACTAAGAACACATAAAGGGAAAGTAGAGCTATATTTTCCTATTTTGTGACCTTTCTTATTTATTTTTGTGTCGATTTCTTTCGATTAGTTCTCCCATTTTAATTAACCTTTTGATACATCAACACAATATAGGGAAGAAAAAAAAACAATTAAAAAATAGTTGAAATCATATTTCTTATCGGCCAACAAGTTTTGGTGCTCAAGTTTAAGGGAATGTTTACTTACAAGGAATAAAATAGTAATGATTTTGATTTTTGAGGCGTCGTCGTCGATCATGATCTCACGTGCTTTTAATAAGTTTACAGTGAAATTACATTTTTCACTCAATTTTAACTATTTTATGAATTGTTTAGGGTGAAACACATACTATTTTGACACTTAAACCAAAAAAAAATTCAATTATTATATCAAATTGATTGAACACAATTTTGTGTTTTATCTTTGGTTCCCCTGCAAAATCCACTATTTTCTTATTCTCCTCCCTCATGCGAAGTTAATTAGAGAAATCACCCCGATAAATATAAGTTTTATTGGAAAACATTTAAAAAGTTCATTCAAAGAAAAAGTTCCTTGTTTATCCATTTATCATCTTCTAATTGATTATTAATTGTGAAATTTTTACAGTATCACACGTAATTGTTCTCTAAATATTGAAGTAATTTAAAATATTTTTCTCTGAAGTGTAATGTTTTACATGCGAGAACCCCCACCCTCGTCCTAAACAAATAGAAAGAGGAAAAGTTGCTAGGTAAACAATTTTTGGGAACACATGACATACATCTCAATAATAATTGGTCTTATTTCTGCTAAGTAAAAATTTTAGCGGATACATTGACGAAATTTGTTCCAATTTCGAAGAGTTAAAAATGATAAAATTTGAGTTTCAATAAGTAAAATAAAACTTAAGTCGAAGTTGAAGGATATGATTGTAAATAACCATTTACAAGAAGAAAAAGCCGTATGAAAAAAAAAGAAGAAGAAATAGTTACAAGTATAGGGGCAAATATCAAATTAGACAAATCACGTGCGAGCGTCCCCTTATAAAGACGTAGCAAGAGCTAGGGTTTTATAAAGTCTCCGGAGTCGCTGCTTCTCCCTTCACCACTCAGTAGCGGCAGCCTGAAAATCCTGTTCTTTCGTCTTCTTTCTTCAGGTAATCTCCGCCGCCGCTAGGGTTTTCTCATCTCATCCTTCTGTCCCTCTCTACATTTCACCCTCACCAAAATTTTCACTTCGTTTTTCTGATTTTGCAGGAAGTTTTTTCTCAGCGAGGACAAAGATCTAACCAACCATGAGGTAATTTCATTGTTTTTCTCTTGTTCTTCCTTCATCTGATTGTAATTAGTATTGGGTTATTGCTCGATTTGAAATTTAGTTGGATTTTTGGTGGTTTTAGAACCCAAAATCTCAAATTTTTGTTCATGTTTTAGTAGGTGGTTTGAATGTCTTTTTATTTACTTGTTTCAATCTGGTTTTGCAAAGTGATTAGTGGCTATAAATCGAGATTAGAGATTTAATACTCCTTAATCTGTTATTGTATTGGAGGATTATCTGATATAGCTTTTACAGAAAGGCGTGTGTTTTGATTACTTGTTTTTAGGGTTTTTAATTTATGTTTTTTTGGGTGGCGTTGGGCAAAAAAGTCCCTGACAATCGTACGATGATTTAAAATTGTTGTACATTCATTTCTTTTATCATTGATTGTTTTATATATCTGAAGTGGTAAATATGAAACACATTCCCCATATCTGTCGGATGAGTCTCGAACCTTACAAAGCTCCGCTTCGGGTTTTTTTACATTCATTTGTTATATCATTTATAGTGTTATGTATCTGAAGTTCATGTTTTTATTATTTTTTTTAACAGTAAGCTGTCGAGTGATGGGCTGAGGGAAGCCATTTCTCAGATTAAGACGAACTCTGAGACAAAGAAGAGGAAGTTCACTGAGACAGTGGAGCTTCAGATTGGTCTGAAGAACTATGACCCCCAAAAGGACAAGCGTTTCAGCGGTTCTGTCAGGCTTCCACACATTCCTCGTCCTAAGATGAGGGTTTGCATGCTTGGAGATGCCCAGCATGTGGAAGAGGTAAATTTCCTTATTGATTAAACAGTTAATGAATTTGATGATTTGTTATTCTCTGGTGCATTTGGGATAAAGTAGAAAATTAAACATGTGTAGTCTGTGTGTAGACGTCTAACCTATCGTTTATGCTTTACTACAGGCAGAGAAGATGGGTTTGGATTATATGGATGTGGAGAGCTTGAAAAAGCTGAACAAGAACAAGAAACTTGTGAAGAAGCTTGCCAAGAAATACCATGCCTTTTTAGCTTCTGAAGCTGTCATTAAGCAGATTCCTCGTCTTCTTGGCCCTGGTCTTAACAAGGCCGGCAAGTACTCCTGATTAGTATCTGTTCTGCTTTTGCTTCATTGGACATAATAATTTATTAAGAAAGCAACTAATGCTAGTTTTGGTTTTGTTGACAAAGCGCAGGTAAGTTTCCAACCTTGGTGAGTCACCAGGAATCTCTGGAGGCAAAACTTAACGAGACCAAAGCTATGGTGAAGTTCCAACTTAAGAAGGTTCTTTGCATGGGTGTTGCTGTCGGGAATCTCGCTATGGAGGAGAAGCAGATTTTCCAGAATGTACAACTCAGTGTCAATTTCTTGGTTTCATTGTTGAAGAAGAACTGGCAGAATGTAAGTTATTTGCTTCGACCTGCTTTCATGGTTTCGTTTTTTATTTATACTTGCTCTGTTCTAACTTCCAAGTTTTAGCTTTCAAATTTATGGATAAACTTTAAATGCTTATTTTCTTTGATCCCGCTGAATTTCGGCTTCTTGTTATTATGTTGTTTGATCGAACATGCGAGAATGTGTAAATTATGATTCAGTCTGAAATTAAGATTTGATTTGGATTCGAAGTCACGAATTTCTACTTGAATATCACTATATGTATGCCTTTAATGGTACTTATGTTGCCTTTTTGTTTGTACGAAATAGGTGAGGTCCTTGAACTTGAAGAGTACGATGGGGAAAGCTATCCGTATCTACTAAGTTAATCTTTATCAGAAACTTTCCAAGTGAAGGAAGCGTCAGCGGAACTTTTTTTTAAAGACATTTATGCATACCTTTCGGTGTTCTATTTTGTTTTCGATGACTTTGATTTCGTTGTTAAACCATAATTTAGTACTCGATGTTGCTCTGGATGAATGCTTTTGGAAAATTTTGAAGGAAAGCCTTTTCTTTCTCGATTATGAATGAATACAGGGAGTGTGTGATCTCATTTTCCAATGTGCGAAATGCTCTATCGACGATGAACGAATACAGGGATCGTGTGATTTGCGAAAACACCCTTTGAACGATCGACGATGACCTTGCCATATCTCTTGAGCTATTCCTAGAGGCATTTTGCAAACATTTTTTTTCACCGTGAACGAATGAAGGCAAACATGTAAATGCAAGTACAAAAACCGAAACAACACGAACTCAAATTCAACCGTTCGGGATGAGGAATATGATCTAAGCCACTTAACGAGTAACCCATATTAGTTTTTCATCAATGAACGTTGAACTTGATGCCGACCGTAGTGCCGATTGGTGACAAACCTAATTATAATCGTAATTTCGTTCTTTTTCTCTCTTTCGGAATCTGTAGTTTGATTCATCTGCTGCATTCAACACATGACTGCTGTATTTTGATCAAACAGATGGATTTGAACACTGTTCTAAAAATCCTCTCATAGTGACGTCTAGGTGCTAGGCGGCTGGCCATCGTCCCGATTAATGCCGAAGTGTTTGAAAATTTAAGAAAGAGCGCATAGAACTGCTAAGGTGCCAGTTTAAACCACCTAGGCACCTACCTAGCCCGTCCAGACCTGCCTAAGTTGCGACTCACTTAAAATAGAAAATAGATAACTTTCATTTTGCATTTTATTTTTTATAATAAATTATTAGGGACCTGTTGTATACTTAAATGAACACATATTATATGTTTGTTCCCCATGTTTTCATTATTTTTCAATACTTCACAATATATATATATATATATATATATCGTTCTACTTTGTAGTTTATTATAAAATTATATATATTTTAAGTATAAATCGATACTTATATACACAAAATATAATAGATTCACTTAAATCCGTTTAATCCATTTAGGCGCCCATTTAAATACTAGGCCCCGCTCGCCTAGCGTCTTTTACAACCATAAATTTGAATCAATCAAAGCCGCCAGAGGAAATATGGCGTATTCGTCATAAACCGCGACCAAGAGTCACGTGCTTTTCATTCCCAAGGTTGCAAATATACAAGTTTGCTTTATGACCCCACATACCAAACCCTGAAATTTCAGCAGTCTCTCCGCGGATCTGCAACAGCCACAAGTCCCTGAAATTCCACAGCAACAGCAACTGCAGCAGAGAATTCTGAGGTAACTTTGATTTACTCATTTCTCAATCATTGACAATTTAATTTACAGTCCATTACCATAAACTAACAAAATCCACTAGTCAGAATTGTTATCAAACCCAATAGGTAGTGTTTGATTCAATAATTATTCGAATTCGGGTCGTATTTTGATGTTCGGATCGAACCCATCAACCATGCATGGACACGGTGGTATCCCTCGTATCTCCTTGTCGTGTCGAATTCCTTTGTATTCATACAACAATTCTTTAAATTTTACATATCCCGTTCCTGTTGTTTCGCAGCGCATCCTCATGTCCATGTCCATGCATCGTAAGAAACCATCAGTTTTGTGTGCAATATATGTCCATTCTATCACATTGTAATCATGTATGTCCACTATTATGTGGTTGAGAAAAGGAAAGTGTTTGATCGTGAAGGGTGTATGCGATAAGCATCTGATTCGGTGTGATTGCTTGACTGATACACTTTATACTTGCAATGGGGTGGAATCCAAATGAGAGTAGAATGTGAAGAGTGTAGTGGTTTTCACACTCCTGTTTTCTCCTTCTACGCTCCTAACCTTGTTTTTGTTCACTGATTCACCCTTGATTTCTTCAATCCAAAGGCTCAGATAAAAAATGACGTGCGAAAATCACTTCCCGGAAAGCGTATTGGTTTGCCAGCTTCCCGTAGTGTGTTAGAGACTGGACTATTGGACTCAATTTGCAAGTTCAATTCCAGGAACCATGGTGTTATCTTTGTTGAGTTTTGATTTGATTCAACTTTTTAACAGCTTGTAACGACAGCAAAAGATGGCAAACCGTGAAGAACACAATTTCCAAGTTAGGAAACTAGAACTCTCAGACAAAGGCAAGGGATTCATAGAACTACTGCAGCAACTGACCGTTTGCGATTCTGTATCCGACAAGGACTTTAAAGATCGATTTAAGGAGCTTAGTGCCCGAGCAGAGGACCATCAGGTCTTTGTAATAGAAGATGATCGCTCCGGGAAGATTGTGGCAACTGGGAGTGTGTTCATTGAAAGGAAGTTTATAAGAAACTGTGGCAAAGTCGGGCACATTGAAGACGTTGTGGTTGATGCCAATGCACGCGGGATGCAATTAGGAAAGAAGATGATTGACGCCCTTACGGATTATGCTCGCTCGCTGGGGTGTTATAAGGTGATTCTCGATTGCAGTGTTGAGAACAAAGCGTTCTATGAGAAATGTGGCTACAAGCAGAAGGAGATTCAGATGGTGAAGTACTTCATCTGAGAAGCATTCTTAATTTCTTGTAAGTTGGCATGCTACTTCCTGTGCTGTATTACTGTCATTGTTCCTGTCATAATTTAGTCTTTGCCATGACAATATCGAAATTTCGATCGGGTTTTAAGTAGTTCGTTCCCATCTTTCAGTTCTTAAAAAAAAAAAAGTTCAAAACCATGTGTTTTTCCATGACAATATCATATCCTTTGCATAGCAGAAGAAAATGCTGTCAATTTCCATGGCGCTTGTTTGGTGACAAAGATTGAATTGACGTAGACAACTCTGTGCGTAAGGTCTGTCGATGAAAGAACTGAAGATTGTGTCCAACTTGAAGCCAGAAGATGGATAACGCTTTGAGGGAACTTATCCCTTCAAATCCAACGTAATGGTAGGATTAGAAGGGATAATTTTCTTTCATGTCCAGTCCAGCCAAAAATGAGAAATCATTCACCTCTACCTTTAACGTACGAGCTTACTTTTATTGTATGAGTTATGGGCTCTAATCCAATCTTAGTCACCAAACAAGCTCATATGAAGCACTCTCCATGCTGCTGTGAAAGTGCAAAAAGGCAGGCTGGTATGGCATCAGTCCAGCCACTTGGAAGGAGACAGGATTTAGTGGAATATTGCTTGGCTTCTTATAAACAACGAGTCATTCCTCCATACATATCGACCACTCGTATTAATGCATTAAGCTAGAAATGTTTTCTTTATGTGTAAGGAGCTAAATATTCATGACAAAAACTAAGGTCAAATTATAAACTATTCCATAATAGATGGACAAACATGTCCAAACCAATTGTTATGCATGCATTGCTAGTGTTAATCTTTTTCTATGCAAACGTAAACAACTGATAATATTGACGTTTTGATGGACCACCCAGTTAGTAACGCTCAACACCAACTTGTATGTACATTATACTAAATTCATCGAACATTGTTTGGCTTCTCATACCTCATTGATTGTAAAGTACAGTTGGACCCATGTACTATAATATCCATAGAGATGACAAAATCTAATTTTATGTGTAGGAAATCATGACTCCTGCAAAATGTTTTCGGAACTTGCTAACCGAAAGAAAAAGAGAATAATATTTTCCAATTCAAATGCTCAACAATAGACAATGGGCTTGGAACTTCTTTAATACACATTGGCTCAAAAGCACTTATAGTAAAAGCAATTCAGGTTTAATTTGAAAGTGTTTTTAAAATGATTGTAAGCGTTTTTTATGAGGGTACTTTGGTAACCAATTCTTAGTAAAAATACAAGTGAATCCTGAAAAAACACTTGACGTGCTTCTTATTCCAATGCTTTTGAAACCAAAAAAAATACTTTCACCAACATCACTTTTAATCTTTTTAAAAGCAATTCCAAACGATCCTTCACCTCAATTAGAAGCACAATGAAAAGCATTTGAAATGGTTTCTTAAAGAAGAACATCCAAGTAACTTTTTGAATCCATAAGCACTTTTTTTTTCTTTTTGGCTAAACGTAATTAGAAACGCTTTTGTTGATATGAAAATGCTGAGTTAGTGGGTTTTGGCGAGGTTCTGGAGAAGCAGCGGCGATGGGGGAGGGGGTGGTAGCTGCGAAGAACAAGGAGGTTGGAGATCTCAGAGAGCCCTGGAGCGTATTGGGTCTTGACGAAGGTTCCAGATCCAAAAATGGCAATCTGGGTGCCATTTTTTAGAACTCAAATGCAGTTTTCTTGAAAATCTAGCAATTGGGATAGATCCAAATTTGTTGTCTTTGGTGATAAGGAAATTGGCTGAGATGATTTTGGGAAGATGGTAAGGAGTTAGGGTTGGGTGGGTGGGTGGATGGATGGAGTCGAAGATGGAGAGGGAAGGGTGGATGTATGACGAGTCGAAGAGGAAGAGGAGAGGATATGAGATGAGGGTTTGGTGGGTTGGTGCAGAGGAGAGAATGGAGGGATGAGGAAGGAAGGGAAGGTCGGGAGAGGTAGAAGACGACCAAATTTTTTTTAATTTTCATGTGGATCTTTAATGACACGTCGTTCAGTCATCGTTCGCATGATCTCTATTAACTTGGGATTTAACAATCAGACTAATATATGTATGAGACTGTTCCAAAATTAATATTGTAGGTATGAATTTAAGACGAAAAAAACTTCATTTATCAGATGTTGAAAATCACGAAACTCGAAGTTAATAAACTGGGATTAGTTTATATGGACTTCCAAACTGGCCTAACGACGTGGTGGAAGCTGATTGGTGTGATCAATCATGACACTCTGGTACGGACGTACGGTCCATCCTTGCGCTCCAAAAAAGTTTCTCGTTTCGACATTTTAATGAACACCTTTCCTTTCCGTTTCCGGCATCTCTGTAACCCTAAACCCTAAAATCCCAATTTCTTATTCGACATTTGAAATAAATTTTTTTATTTTTATGTGAATAAATACTGCAACTTTCTATTTGGAGGTGAACGTAAAAAACAAAATAAATAGAAAATAAATAAAAATGGCGTCGAGCTTGCACCAATGGGAGTCGGATCCTCTGTTCTCCGCAGCCGAAGTCGTCCAAGATTCCGCTGACAGGTTCATTTCTCCTCCCTTTTTCCCTTCTTTTAATTTTAATATGTATTGGAATTTGGAAGTGTTCTTCTTGCTTTTGGGAGGAAAAAAAGCAAAAATCTTGACTTAATTTTTTGGGTTGGGAAGAAAGTTACTAAAAAAAGGTGAAAAGTAATAATTTTTGAAAAGTTTGTGTTGATGAACTTGATTTCTGAGCTATGTTAGAATGTTGGCATCTGAATTAATTTTTTTCGTTGAAGATTTTTGTTTGGTTTGAATAATGTTGTCTTTCACAAATTGGACTTCATATTCATCAAAACTAGTTCTTCTTGTGCGTGTCGAGCTACCCGAAAAGTTCAAGTGTGCAGTATTTACGTGCTTGTCTTTCCTTTCCGGATGTGGAATATGATCTCACATGAGGGAGCATGTTGAAAATTCAACAGCGGGACTTTAACAAAATAATTTACAACTTATAAGTACGTGGTTTTATTTCTATGTACACCGAGATCTTTTAGGATAACACCCCACTCCTGCCGGGCTAGTAAGTGGTTAAGTTAGGGACAATGCTGGTGTTGGAACATTTGGCCTGTCTCTTTGAAACTTTGACAATGTAGAACATCAACTTTCGAGAAATGACAGTAACAAATAAACTATAACCTGCGAGTCGCCAACTCTCCTGCTCATTTTTACCATCTTCCATATTTTGCTTTTTCGAAAAATAAAGGAGCTTACAGATTGATAACTCACCGCTGTATAAGCATAGGGAACTTTTTATTGTTGTGGATTGCTATTGTATTCGGTGTTCTGTGTTTTATTATGTTGAATTGCTTATGAACTGTACATTCCCTGAAACTAATGCTGCTTTTGTTTTGGTGTTTTAAATTGTAGGATGGAATCGGTTTTCCGCTCTCTGCTGCATGAGCTCAGTCTTGTTCAAGGTGACTGTCCAGACCCAAAGTTAAGTGTGTCAATAGATTATCACAAACGTGATCTTGCTACAACACTTGAAACTGCAAAGTGGCAGGTGGTAATCTTTGCACAACTCAACTCTTTTTTCTTCATTTTCTTTATTTTCGGTTTAGTTAGGTTTTAGTGATTCTCTCCTGCCAGTTGGAAGATTTTGAAAGAGCGGTCAGCTTTTCAGCTATGGCAGGAAGGTCTCAAAATCGGGAGGATGTAATTTCAAGACACAAACAGTTTATAGGAGCCATTAGGGAACAAATACTTTATGTGGAGAAGAGATTGGAGGGTACAGCTATAGGAGATGATCCCATGAGAAATACAGAGTGGGTTACCTTGAATGAACAAGATAGAGATGGTTTGGCGTTGTTCCTTTCTGGGGGAAATAATGCTGAGCCCACTGATTGTCAAGACGTGGAAGACAACAGTATCTTGAGAAGATTTCTTGATCCAACCACATCTAGTGCTAAAGATTCTATAGAGGAGAACAACTCGAGGAAAGTTGGTTCGTATAACAGATTCGGTGAAGGTGGGAGTTGGGACATTGGCAATACAAGGTTGAAATCTGATTTTACAGATTCTTTTCCAGAGTCCTCTTGGAACAGATACGGAGGTGGTGAGAGTCGGGATCTTGAAGCTAACGAAGCCAAACCTGAAAGCTTCAGCAGAACAAACGTATTTGGGTTCTTGAGTACGGCATGGAGTGTTTATGGGAGTAGGGTAACTGGGAGCTATACAAAGAGATTTAAAGATGGAGAAGAACAAAGTCATTCCTCATCAAGTGCTGGTGTTTCTCATGGTGCACAGGTAATTACAGTTCTTGTAGTGATGCCAAATGCTTATAATGGTTTTTCTTGCAAATAACTGTTCGTAGAGTTGGTGCAGTAAGGAAGATCTTCTACCGGTGTATGATACTTATTTGCACTGATAAAACTACTACACAAAGTGTGCAAATACTTAATTACATAAAAAAAGTGTCTTGACAATTGGAAATTAGAAACTTTTAACTGTTCACAACTCTTCTATTACTCTCAAATCTGTAATTCAAGCATCAAGTTTTCCTTTCTTGGAAAATTAAGTTCTTGAATTTTCCAATTCCGTTAAGTATTGCATGTTCAGTAGTTCATATTTCTTCTTTAGTAAATAGCTAATAGCTGTGACTTGAGATCAAAGAAGGATACTTGTAAGTTGTTTTAAATTTTCAGTGTTCCGAAAGGAGATTGTTGTGTGGTTATATCTGATTCCGCTCTGTGTCTTGATTCAGTTCGTCATGGTAAACTTGGTTTGGCTTTCTATGCTTCAGCCTAGATGCTTATTGGTTTGCTTGTCCTTGACAGGGTCAGCATCAGGGAACGTGGTTGTATAGAAATTTCAAAGAGTTGGGTATGGGGATTCGGACAAAAGTAATGTACTTACGGACCTGGCTTGGTGTATTTAGGGCAAGATATGAAGGATCACCTTATCACATTCAAGTTCAGCGGCATTCTATTCAAGTGGTGTTGATAATACTACTTGCGCTCATTATTTTAGGTGAGGACAGATTCCTTATTATTTTTCTGCAGTTCATGTTACCTTGTTAACTAGATTTAGCTGTCGTTCAAACTAAATGATTACCATTTTTATTTATTGAAATAAAACTAGTAGGTTGTTAGCCCAAAGAGCAAACTAGAAATACGATTAGTATGCTATTTCTTCTATGATCACTGAAGTATCTGTTAAGGAAGTATGACATAAAACCGACTCTTCGAATATATTTAGTGTTAGGATTTGGGGACACACGCTTTTGACACACATTTTGACACCCATTTTAAAATGAAGTAACTTGCTTTATCAAGAGATAAATGTAAAGCATTTATCGTATATCATTGTCGGAAGATCATAATATACAAGTAGGTTTTGACATTAACAATGAGTGTCGGTGATTGTTCAACTGGTAGCGATATATCGTTTTAATATGAATGAGGCTGAAACCACATAGGAAAATCAAATGTTCTAACTTCTAACATATGTTCTACTTCTAGGTTATTTCCCCCCTTGAAGTTGTCATCTATGCTTTTTTTTTTTTTTTAACTCTGCTCATCACGCAGGCACACTGGTTTCCCGGCTTGCTTAAAGACATTCGAGGTTTGGTTACACTCGACAATCTGTATATGTAAAGGGTTTTCTCAAGACTTTTTAACATGGGAGGAACTGCTTTTTCGCCATCTGACCCTCTCTATCATGGTCGGATGCCAACACTCTATTCAAACTTGGAGAAATTTTGCACCGATGGGCATCGTGTCATTGTTCCGAGTGTGAATTTCTGTCGGATGTATTGGTTTTGTGCGATTGTCGGTTTTGGTAGTAGCCAGCATGACTGTTATGTCAAAGAATACATGGGCCGTTGGAGCCAGTCTAATGGTTTTCTTTCAGCAGTGTGTAAATTTGTGTTGTGCTCTCGAGTGATTATGTTGAATTTGGTCGGAAACTGCACTTGTTGATAGAACAGCGGCGTCGATCCATCGTTTTTCAGTCACAATAACCAAAATGTGCATTTTGATTAGTGTGGAAGATCTACTTAAATACTTTTATCTGGAGGAAAATTGATAATGTCATGACAAAGTATGAGATTGCTATCATGTCTCGTAAGTTTAAGCGAAAATGAAAACGAATGCCCAGCAAAAATCGTATGTTAAGATTCCACTGTGTTGCACTTGTTTCTAACAATCAGTATTTCACTAGTTCACTGAACAAAGGTAACGAGTGAGAAGCCGGTATCGCCCCTTCTTTTTGCCTCCCAGGTGACATTCACTGCAGGGGAAAGCTACCTGTGTCCGATTCAACAAATTGCAGACACAAGGGGATCCTGAAAAATTGTACGTGAGCCCTCTTATCCATAAATTCTTTCATATGTAGTGTTTTTGTCCACCTGAAATCTTATATTTACACTTCAAACAAATGCAAATACCACCAAGGGCACATAAGCTTGCCAATCGACTGCCTGAAGATCACTAGTAGCTCTCGTGCCTGTAACAAAACATATAATCGGCTAATCAGCAAGTGAAAGAAACACTTTGACGAGATTTACTAGCTAGCAACCCTTGCGTTCTTGAATGCTGGCCTAATAACTATTAGTTTTAGAGAACTCTGTTTCAAGTTCTCGTACAAGTAAACATCAAAACGTGTTGCTAAAAGTCAATTAAAAATAAACCTAGAACATTTTACTTTTCATTTTTTTTATCCCTAGACTACTAAAAGGAGTCGTGCAACTAACAAATATACCAAATGCACTCAAATTTCGGGTACTCAATGAACTTAACAAAAGTGTCAGACCCATCAAATACCAACCATACCGGCACTGGCATTTGTTTACATGAAGATATGCAAATAATACTTTCATCCAAGGCAAGAAATGTATAAACTTACCAAGTAATGGTAGCCTGTTCTCAATCTGACTTCTCTATTTCTCGAAATCTCTTATCCCATTCTTGGGCTTCATAGTCTTGCTCAACCAAATCCTTGTCCGTACTATATACAATTCTATCCTGCCCTATGAATGTTTTTTGGGCCATGTCCTGAGCACTGAGGAGCTGAAACATCATACAGAAAAATATAAGTAAATATTGTTTTAATCATTGAAGGAACAAAGTTAACCTAGTTTTCGTTCTTTGTTCCTTTTTCTTTATTTCACTTGTCTTTACATCGGCAAGTACAGGATTACCTTATGACAAATACTATACCTTATACCCTAAGACAACCTCACGTGAGCATTCAATTGAAGAATACTACGCTATTTTAGTTCGAAACTTCACATCTTACAACAGTTAATAAATGCAGCATTGTTGAACTAGTATGTTTAACTTGATTTTCAGTCCAATGGCAATGCAATCACTGAGAGAGGGCTTGATTGGCAATAGGTTATATTTCTTTTTATTGATCTGACAACTCTCCCCTACTAACTAGTGTGTGAGTGCAAATTTGAATAATTACAAAGCACACATGTGACGTTGAGACAGAAACGATTAATCAAGACAAAATTCTAAAGAAGCACACCTTTCTTCTAAGTGAGATATCTGGCAATTCAAGGGATTGAGCACACTGCTGTCTTGCTTTGTTTCTTTTTTCTATGTCAGCGTTTGTCTTAAGCAGGACGAACCACCGCAACAAAGGAATTGCAAAGAAAGAACCAGCATAAATCTGCAAATAATTGTGAGACAAGATAAAATCAAGCCCAATAGAGCCTGAGGACTTAATCAGGTTGTTGTAAAAAAAAAAAGCTCTCCCTTTGTATAGGAAGAGCTTCATAATAGGGATCACTCTCCACTATTCAAGAAAAGGATTGCATGTGAAGCCAACCATTTAACAGAAAAAGTACAAATTCTTCATTGCAGGTAGGGAACTTTAATTTATTTGAAATAAAATCATACCTGAAGTAGTGGAAATATGCTAGAAACAAACTTAATAAAACCAACTGGTGCAATTCTAGTATCCCTTCAAATAAGAAAGTGGGGGCATCAGAGCAATATAGAGTAAAAACAATCAAAGCAAATACAAAGTTCAAGTCGGACATACTTTAAGATGGTTCCAAGAATGATAACCCCAAATAAATTAAGTCCACCAAGTCCAGCAACCATTGCTCTTTCAGAAACGGTAGTGTTACTGCAAACGGAAAACTTAATTGTTTCATTTTAATTTCCAGATGAATTCACAATATAATCAGCAACAGCAATCATATAAAGGACCTGAATTGCCATTTCTTCTCCTGGAAAAATTTGTTAACTCCTCCAACAAAATCAGCCCATCTTCTCCCCACATATTCCTTCCTTCCTCTCCTCTGAGAAGACGCTGTGCGCTGTAGAGATGGAAACTGGTACAGAATATTTCCCTGCATCATAACCAATTTTTTCTATGAATGACTACTTAATATTATATCTTTCCATCTGCGTAATGAAATCCAATATAGAGACGGAATGATTTGTGAAATTGCAATCATGTACCAGGCCAAAGGAAACAGAAGTATATTTATCCAACAGTTCCAATTCCTATATATTTATGCAGAAAGAAGAAGAAATATAAGCCATTTATTAGAAAACAAAAACGTTAAACATACCTCTTCATCTATAACAGGCTGACCCTCGTACCGTAAAAGAACAGGTAAGATGTATGTTTCATCATTCTGAAATTAACGGAAAGTAAAAAAATGTCAAGCAGCATAATAAGGAATAAAAAGAAAAATGCTGAATATAGTAAAAGAAACTGAAAACTTTCAAGGCCTTGAAGAATTTAACTGATTGATGTGCTCAATAAAGAGCCAATCACACAATAAACAATAACTGAACTCAACAGTTGTTTGGAGCTTTTTCTTTTATAAAGAAATAAACAAAAGATCACGATTATCTACACTACTGAGTATGAAGTTTGGAAACACCTGTGTAAAAGAATAATTGCAGTTCAAACCTCTTATGAGGAATTATGCAAATGTGATTGGATTTTACAAATGAATCTTCAAATGAAAGGTCAAACCATAGAGCATCATGAAATGACGACGCATGCTGTATTCTAATGTGTTCAATTAACTAACCAATGGATGCAAGTGCCTACTATTAACCATCAAACAATAATCCAATCTCAGCTGGAACTAGTACAAATTCTCCAAATACAAAAGAAAACTCCATTACATCAAGAGTTGGGAATTACAAACGAGCATGACAACCAAAAACAAAATATTTACCAGAGTTTCCCCTGAAGATTGTATATCAAGATATGGAGAAAGCTCTTCAGCTGCAACAACACCACCTTTAGAGGATATGTATTGTCCAATCTGTATTTAAATTTCAAGGGGTAATTTTGTCATTACACGTATATATATCAATCATGATTTTTAATGACAATCAAAATAACAGTTCCAAGATAACAAGTAGCAAGAGATTATCAAACTTTAGGAATAAGACGTAGAGTCACACAACCAAGGATTCTACAATAAAAAAGCTTGAGGACTTTACCATAGGTGGACAACAGTTTTTGAGAGAGGATCCCCAACTACCTTCAGTATTTGTGAAAATCTTATATTTTCCAATATCACATCATCTAGTTTATATTGAGCTTTGGGGATGTAACAAAAGTTTCAAATAATCATGACAATTCCCAAGCACAAGACCAGTGCAGTTCTTATGTTTTGATCTAGTCTAAAAGCTATCCATGAATTACACAATCCCCAATTCTACAACTTCCACCTTTACACCAAATAATGTCATAAATGAATTCAGCGCATTACTTTAACCTAACAATTCCCTTTATTCTTCCCTTGTTTTGGATTTTACATATACACATGAATGAGGTCACACACACACACACACATATATATATGACCTCAACAAAAGTAGTAAACTCCCGTATATTCTTTCAAAATATTAAATCAAGGATTCGCATAAGAACCTATGACAAAATACTATATCCTATTTCAAAAGTCACGCCTAAAAGGTCTATGCAAGATTTTAAGAGGTCGTACTATGTACGTGTAGCTTGATTGAGAGAGAGAGAGAAAGAGAGAGAGAGAGAGAGAGTTATAAATACCCCTATATTCTAGTTTACCCTCACAAGAAATAAATCTAATTGCATATAAAAGCATACAAAAACAACCAATGAAATGAAACAAATTGTTGAAAGCAACGAACCACTGAACTCAGTGCTCAATTATTACCAACTTCCATCTCTCTTCTTCGATTCCTTGGTTTGGATCACCATCGCCAAATACAAATGAGAAAATCTAAAAGACAACATCATAAAGTCAATACTTTCTTCAAATACAAACCTAGCAAAAAGACAATAGAAAAAGAATGATTAATTCCATCACATACAGATTCAACGAAATTCATCTTGTTATCATCTGTTTGTACTCGTTCTGTTTGTACTCGCCGCCTCCTAGAGTAATATGGATCCCAGAACCTTCATGAAATAAAAGGTAAACAAGGTGTGAGCAAAAGTCTCTTACAAGTTCCAACAACTAATATAATTAAACCCGAAACCGTTCCACAGAATTACGAAAAACATTATGAAAAAGTGTACTTAACAAGTAAGAAGAAGGTATTACCAAAAGAGGTCAAATGGATTCATGTAAAAAGAGAACCCTGAATCATACGACCTTCCTCCACGTCTTCCACGATTGTCATCTTCACTGTAACCAAAACACTAGTGTCAACAATCTGCCCAGAATAGAAATTATTTAACAATAGAGATAATAACAATACCATGAAAACTTACCTTCTACCAGAAGACAGAGCAACAACAATTGCAGTATAAACAAGAACAATGGAAGCAACTAGGGCAGTTCCAAATGAAACCCTCGCTACGTACTCAACCCCAGCCTGTCAAAATGCATTATGTTAGTTCCAACTGCCAAACATTATAACCAAAAATTCCACAAAGTTACTAC